GCCAAGATTGCCTACCCCTGCTCTAGAATCTAGACAAAATTTTAAGGATCTAAGAAAGTAGAACAAGATTTGAGCTCTGAACAGTTGGGCCATCAGGAACACTCTGTCCAATTTCCTGATTGTTCTTATACAATAACAGAATAAGAATTGGAAGGGACCTTGGAGGTCTTCTAGTCCAACTCCTGCTCAAGCAGGAAACCCTATACCATTTCAGACAAATGGTTGTCCAATCTCTTCTTAAAAACCTCCAGTGTTGGAGCACCCACAACCTCTGGAGGCAAGTAGAAGGAGAGGCTGAGCTCCACCCAAGTCCTCAGTTTCACTTTTATGAATTTGGGGACTGTGTGATTATTTCACAATCCATAATTTTGACGATCCAGTACAAAGATTTGTTTTAAAAAAATGCTGAATATTATTTTATACAATGATAAAGCATAACCTCTTCCTTTTCAATTTCAACACATTGCTATTCCCAGCTTTCAACCAGAATGACTTGATATAGTACATTTGTTTTAAAAAGTTTTAATTATATATTACACCAGTACTAACACAAACAAGAAACAGCTCAGTAAAAACAAAATATCTAGCAGCATTAAATAAATTTAACTGGCTGTATAATTAGAGACACCTATAATTATGCAGGGGGGAAAAATCCAAAGCCATAAGCAGTTTTTTAAAGAAGAAATAACTAGAATAGTTTTGATATGAATAGCCAGATAAAGCCACTGAAGTGTGGTCTAATCATCACTATAAACTCTGCCCCTGCATTTGCAAACTCTCTGGCTCTATAGATTTACAATCAAGAGAGGCTGGAGGGAAATGATCACATTTTAAAATCAATATATTAAGCAAGGGTGCATAAGAATCTGAATTGCAGTTTCATGTACATCATTTAAAGTTGCACTAACATTTGCAAATACACGAAGAAGTGAAAAAAGGTGCATCAGATGGAAATCAGGAATAAAACCATCAAGACAGGGTGCCAGAGTCTTGCTTGAATTTGGAATCTTCAATAGAACAGCAGTAAACTTCATTTTGCATATACTGCTTGCATGTTCAAAAATTTGTTAAAGTAGTAAGCTAAGCAAAAAGAAAATTAATGTACAATATTTAGAGAGATGGCCTTACCAGAAAGCTCATTTGTAAGTGGAAATCATATACTGATCTCTATTTATGGTTGATTTAAAACAGTGTTTCTCAGCCTTGGTAACTTTTAAGATACGTGGATCTCGACTCCCAGAATTCCCCAGCCAGCACAGCTTTTTAATATATTCCAGCATTCAATTTATAAATCTTTTCCTTAATTTTAATTCTTATTATAAAAAATAATAATGGAAACATGCCTAGAAGAGAGTACTGAACTGAAGGAATAGCCTCCATTAAAGATCCTCATTTATATACTTCCAGTAGTATATTATTTAGAGAAGTCCTGTTCTCTGTAGTAGTTTGCTCTCCATAATATCAGACGGAGAGGCTGCCTGACTCCAAAACAACTCTGGCAATATACTGGTCTATGACTCTAATACAAATTTGATTTGAAATTTTGGCAGCTTAAATCAACAGTAAAGAAAACAGTAAAAAAAATAGCAAATAAATCCTGTGTGTCCCATTCCCTCTGATACATTCATCACCTATAGAGCTCCTTGGACCACCCTACCCAAGGTCTGGGCAACAGACAGGATTTTAAAGACTTGTGGAATATCATCTGTCCTTACTTGCAGCTGATTTTGTTATAATCTTTTTAGATTACTGTAATAGTATGTAAAAGATGTCCAGATGTCAATGATTCCCAGCCTGTGATCTTATAATAAAGGCAAAGATAAAAGGTTTCCTCTTTCTAGTCATGCCTGACTGGAAACTAAACTGGATATTATAAACCAAACCAAACTTAACTGAAAAACTGGATCTTATTATATAGACAGGTCAATAATAGTCTGTGAGTGTATTACCCTTCCTGTGCAGGTGGATATATTATCATAATTAGTTCACTTTAGATACAGCAAGTAGTATCTTGGGGTTGGGTGAATGTATGCCAGTGACCTATGTGTGAGTCCTCGTAAGCTTTTGCCGATAATGTAGAGGTCCTCACAAAAGAACAGATTGGGATGATGGTATATTTCTGTTATTTGATTGTTGATTGTTGAGTTGGGCTGTTGATAGGACCCACTAAGATTAAATTTAATCATATCTTACTGCTGCAGTTCCAAAACTGCTTTCCAGCACTGCAGGGTTTATGTTACTACTTAATAAACGCTATTGTCCTAACTGTCCCACAAAAAAATTACTGAGATATTAAGGAGTCCAAGGAAGTCTGTCTCATTAAATCAATTTACTTGTTCAGTTTTGTCCGGGATTCATGAAGCTAAAATATGTCTGGCTAATTTATGATTATCTTGTGTACAATTACAAAGTATACAATTACACTTACAAAATACAGTATATTTGAACTTTTAGAAGTATTTTACATTAGTGTCCAACAATTATTCTTTGATTTTTATGCCCAAAAGCCTAAATGTATTATTTAGATAGGTTCTAACTTGAAATCAGAATATTATATGAGTCTTTCACAACATGAGTATTATGGGAGTTAAGGTCCAACACACACGAAGATAACTAAGTTAAGAAAACTGAAGCACAACCATAGCTAATGTGTTGTGTTTTCATTGGCTTATGGTTCTCTACTTTTTGGATTAACTTTTACTAGAAAATTTTAACCATGGTTTGTGAAAAACATAGAGCCTAGTTCATATACCTTGTTAAAGCAAGAATTATAAAATTAAATATTTTATAACTTAAATTCTATTCAAGAAATACATTCATGTATAAATCTCAAGCTGGGTTGTGCAGCCTGAATAAAAAAAAGCACATTCAAGACAAAACAAAACAGAATTTTAATATTAGGAGTACCAAGAACCTGAATAGCTGGAGAAGTCTGATCTATAAATAACATTTTTGAAGAGATTGTGCTTACAGAGTTTGTAAGAACTATACTAACATGCCTGTTGTTTAATATTTAAGAATACAAATGCATATAACTGGAATGAATAAACAACTGGAATGAATTAGACTGGAATGCTGCAAGACCCTACAGTTAAAATGTTATTTTTCAAAGGGGGGATTCTGTCCTCATCTGTTTTTTAGAATATACCAAGGGTGACATATTTGCAATTTACTGTGAATTGTAATCAATTTTAATGTAAATGTTATTCTTGCATTAAAGTGGTTAAATTGGGAGTTTTGTCTGAACATTCTTGAAAAACTGTAAAAAACAAAAAATCACATTTCTTCACATAATATATAGATATTACACAATATACATAATGGACATGTGTATTGTATATACAAACTACATAATATACACAATATACATTGCAATTGAAATATTATTTTCTGTACTCTCTTTAAAAGTTTGGCACAACTGTTCATTCAAAAGTACACTTTAAGAAAAAGTCTCTGTCCAAGCCTTTATGACTATGCAGATATACCAGGCTGTTTCTGTTAGGATAGCTGACTTCCTAAGCGTTCAGCTCTTGGCAGTTACTACACTTTCTACAATAGTCTTCAATACAATCTAAGGTGCTGCAGCCAAGAGATTGCAGAGGAAGTGTGCAACATCTCATGAGAGCAGAAATTATTTCTAATTGCACATAGGAATTATTTGCACACTAGGCACAGAATGCAGGAAGAATCAATAAAATCTAATATTTTAATAATAAAATATATCCTTACTTATTCCTTCTAAAGTAACATTTTCCATTAAAACTTTATATTGGAATTAATGAAACTCTCAACAGCATTAAAAGTCAGAACCAGATTTACACTTCTGAGGTATAAACCACCATCCATTGAATAAAGGTAAAATTCCTGAATGATTTACCGGTGCTTATTGTACACTTAGATAAAAGCAATTTATACCATTTATTTTGCCATTTCTTTATTTGAGATGACTATTTTGATTTAAATGTAAATATAAAAGTCAACTATTTTATATATACTATTTCTAAAGCATTTAATTTGTATGGCTTCTAAAATTTTGTTTATTTACAGATATGGCAGTGCAAGTTTTCAGATTAAAACTGCACACAAACTGTATTTACACACACATACATATACACACGTTTATATTAAGACTGAAACTTATGGACTCTATAGTTTATGTTCATGTTATAGAATAATACATAGTCCAAAGTGTGATATAAACCAGGGGTCCCCAATTGTTTGAAACGGGGATGTGGGATAAATGGGCAAGCATGTGTGTGAGTGCAAGTGCTATCCGCTTGTGCGAGTGGAGCTTCATCTGTGAGCACCCTCTACTCACACAAGTGGAGCTTCACGTGCAAGCGCAAGCATCCTCTACTCACGTGCAAAGCTCCATTCGTGCGAGTTGAATGCATGCACACCACTTGCATAAATGGAGCTGTGTGCGCACACATGCACCAGCCACTCACACATGCCCCTCTGCACCGGGCTGCCAAGGTGGAAAGGTTGGGGACCACTGATATAAACAGAGGAATACATGAATTCTGATATAAAAGATTGACCAAATTATTGCATCAATTTATCAGCATATGATATCTATGAATACCTGAATGTAAGTTATAGCCAACCAGCAATCTTAAACATTTGAACAATATGGACTTGCTAGGTCTGATTTCTTAACCCCTTTATTATAAATATAAAGCTGCAGACTATCCAAATTTAATTGTAAGTAAGTAACAGAATAAATTCCAACTTACTTTCCAATTTTTATAGGTCTGTAGTTTTTGTGTCATCTATTACATTACTGTTTCTTTCCATTTCAAAAGCTAACATTCAATAGGTTAATAATGCAAGTTAAAAGCCATATCCGTACAACTAATACTCTTGTAAAGTTACCAGAGAAGCATCTTCAAAACTGAAAGCAAATACCAATGATGGTTTTTAAATGCTGCTTCACAGTAGGAATGTAAGAACCATATTTGTTGTAAAAAGGACAAAATAATCCTACGTTGATTTTTTTTAAAAATGTATTCATCCAATTTAGATTGACTTAAGAAAAACAAGATATTGTTATTATGTAGAAAGAAGCAACTTTCTCAATGTCAAAAGGATCTTTTAAAAAGTACAGTTTACTAAAGTTGCTCAATTAAGTAATTGGGGAAGTTAAGTGCACTTTACAAGAATGCCTCTTCTTAGACAATAGTGTAGTCTTTCCACTCATTTTCTTGGTCATTTGATCATCCAGTCTCTATTTTTTAAGTATCTGGGACCCAAAAGTCATGGATCTGACCCTATAATAAAAGATTGTCAAAGGAATTAGATGGAAAGTTATACACATTTAAAATAGATTTTAAATACTAAATTAATTAGTGGCAAATCATTGACATATCAACACAGCTTTAAAATCAACTTACCGTAATTGGTCTAAATCCAACACTGCATATCCCTTTACTCCATTCCCCAGTTGTTATACTGTTTCTATTTCTTGTTAAGAGGCAAAAAACATTCCTTCCAGAAATTTTTATTTCTATGCCACTATTAACTGATAATATGTAATATTTTCTATGAAAATATATTATAACTGTACCATACCTGAGTAAGCTGAGAACTGTGTATCATCTGCTGCCATTTGCTGTATGTTCTAGCAACTAAGTCTTTTACCTAGAGACAGAAAGTTAGAAACAGTTGGAAGCTGAAGTGATGGTTATTGCTGCTGGCCTACATTACTTTGAAATGTACTTTAGGAATGTAACAGGACTTACTTTGGAAGAAATGAGGACAGAATTTTATTGCAAATTTAAAGACAGACCAATCGATATAAACAGGACGCAGGGCAAGTCTCGTGCCTAGGACTCTAAGCAAAGTAGCACTTGCAAGTTAACAGAATGTGGCTAGCATTATGAACTATAGGCAGACCTTGACCTGCAAGCATTCATTCAGTAGCTGTTCAAAGGTTCGGATGATGCTGAATGAATGGTGGCTATGACCGGTCCTCAGTGTTCTGGCCATCTCAGCACCCCTGCGATCACACGATTGTGATCTGGGTGCTTGGCAACAAATCACACTTACAACCTGTTACAGCGTATCATGATCGCATGATTGCCATTTGCATCCTTCCCTGCCGTCCCTAGAAAGTCAATAAGAAAGTTGGCAGGGAATGCCGTAAATCACTGGAGTAAGTCTTCCCCCCATCATGCATTTTCCTCCAGCCCCTCTGTGCTCACGCTGATCCAGCCATTCGTGCTCCCTCCCTGATCATCTCTTTTTCACCATCCCTGACTTGTGCTCTCGTGCATCAACTCACACACCCTTCTTCAATCCTTTCTTGCATTCTTGCAGCCCCTTCCCATAGCCCTGTGTTGTGCTTCTCGTGCATTCCCCCAACCTTTGTGTATCTCCCCTGCATCCTGGCACTCTTCCACCCAGTAGCAGCCACTTATCTGCTGCTAGCTTGGGACTTGCAACTTCCTGCTGGCTCCCCCATTGATTTTGATTGTAGCAAGCCAGCAGGAAATTGCCTTGCCTAATAACAATGGGATTTGGTTTACAATGGCAACCAGAACTGCAGAAGTTGCCATCATTAAGCAATGCAGTCGCACTTTATTACTTATAGAGTCATAACTGAGTGAAGAAAACTCTGGTCCCAAAATCTTTCATTAGTCAAGGACTTCCTGTACCTTGTCAAATTGTTTCTAATTTTCTGGATACATTTCTGTTAAATACCCTTTCCATCAATATTATAGACCATAAATGGAACATATAACACAATGTTCTAATACAAAGGTTTTTTTTTCTCATTTGGGTGAGACAGAAGTAGGAACGAAAACTATTTGGAATCTTGTCTTCTCCTCAGATTTTATATATATTTATTTAAAAGATTTACATAACCACTCATCTTATACAGCATAACCCTGGGAATCTTGCAAGCAATAATAAAAGAATAAAACCAGTAAAAAAAATATAAAACCAACCTAAAAAACTTTCTTGCGCCCACAAATATAACACACTCCAAACATCTCACTAAATATATCTTATATACTGTTTATTTTCTGCATATTGACTGAAGCCAGACTTGATACCTGAGAAAAAAACAAAATTTTCTACTTGTTGATATCCAGACTTTCCATAGTAAACCTCCAATTGGCCTCAATGACTCTCTAAAACAGGGGTGTCAAATTAGCGGCCCACAGGCTGGATGCATCACGCATAGCCATGTCCATCCCGGCTCCACAAAGGCCAAAAATGTTGCGATACATCACAATATGTCTCGTGACGCGATCAAGTTTGACACCCATGCTCTAAAAGAATGCAAATGCCCACCTGTCTGCAAGGAATATAAATCCTTCCATTCTCCCACCATCCAGTCAGAGCTGAAGAAGCTTCTTGGATGAGAAGCGAAACGTCTTCAAAGAAAAACAAGAAAGTCCAGTTGCCTCCTGAAAAAACACCTTTGAGACAACCATGACCTGGATGACTGTGAACCTCCATAGACATCTAGCTGTGCACTTTGGGATGAACACCCTTTGAACAGTGTGGGAGTATGAACGGATTTCCAGGAAACATTGCAGGCTATAGGAACCATTTGTGCTTCAGTTTGAGATGTAGACAACACAGACTCATCCCCAACAGCCTGCGCCTGTCTTCAACAGTGAAGGGACACAGGGCTGAAAACATCCTGCAGCCAAGAAGTCTCCGCACACATTTGCACTACTCTGATGACCCTGAAGACACAAGTAAACCTCCAATTGGGCTCAACCATTCTCTAAAAGAATGCAAATGACCAGCTGTCTGCAAGGAATATAAATCTTTCCATTCCCCAACATCCAGTCAGAGCTGAAGAAGCTTCTTGGATGAGAAGCAAAACGTCTTCAAAGAAAAAACAAGAAAGTCCAGTTGCCTCCTGAAAAATCACCTTTGGGACAACCATGACCTGGAGAGCCTCCACAGACAGATCAAAAGAATGCATTTGCTCTGATCAAGGTAAACTGGTATAATGGCAAAGAGAAATTTTAAAAGACAAAAGAGGATATAACGCCTATCTTCCGGGATGAGAAAAGAAAAGGCAAACTCACCATAGTTCTGTAAAACAATCTGACGTCTTCCCTAATATCACACTTTACATGTTTTTCAAGGGTGCTACAGAGTCTCAACAGCCATTTCTGAAAGAACATTAAACATTTAGTTATGTTATTTCAACCAATTGTTGCTATAGTTTGTAAATATAAATAATATTAATATCTGGTCCAAAATGTGTAAAGCTGCAGCATATGTTACATTTTTAGTGCTTTGCAATATAATCATGTCACAGATGATTACAAATTACTTAGGAATTTCTATTCTGTCTTTCCACTTCTAAAAATTCCCAACCTTAAACGGCTTAGAAGTTGGTTGTGTAGACAACTGTCTACCTCAATACAGGTAACCCTCAACCTATAGCTCAAACTTTCTGTTGCTAAGAAATTATGACCTTCCTTGCCAGTTGTTAAGTGAATTACACCTCGGCTATTAAGTTAGTAACGTGGTTGTTAGGTGAACCTGGCTTCCCCATTGGCTTTGCTTGTCAGAGGGTGGCAAAAAGGGGAATTAAATGGCTCCAGGACACTGCAACCATGATAAATACATGCCAGTTACCAGGCAGCTGAGTTTTGATGATGTGACCACAGGGATGCTGCAATGGTTGTGTGAAAAATGGTCATAAATACTTTTTTCAGTGCTGTTGTAACTTTGAAAGGTCACTAAACGAATGGTTGTAAGTTGAGGACTACTTGTAAGCATCAGATTGGACATTGTAGTTGACTTCTCCTATATTAGTTCTCCTATTGTAGTTGAGTTCTCCTATCATAAAAGTATAGGACAGTGGTGGCGAACCTATGGCACGGGTGCCAGAGGTGGCACTTGAAGCCCTCTCTGTGGCATACATGCCATTGCCCCAGCCTTGCCTCCCCCCCGTGACCCCCTCCTCACCAGCAGGCCCCCTGGAGGAGAGTCGCCCCTGAGCGTAGCCCACGCAGAGCAGTGCAGCCAAGGACATGGCAGCCAGG